AAACTTTGTTAAAACTGGAATGGCCTGAAAATTCAAAACTACTTTAAAAATCTTCAGAGCGATGAGCGATGGGCGGCGAATTTTCCAAATATATTTTTTTTTTACTTTTGCTCTGGTCGTTTTCAGTTTCGGAGAAAAACGGAATGGTTTTCGGGCATAAACGGGAGAACTTATTTTAGTTTTTGTCCCGAATTCGGCGCTGAAGAGAGTGTGTAAAATTTTTACAGCTATTAATTTATTTTGTAATTTTTCGCGTAAAATACCTCGAGATTAGGCAAAACTACGAAAAAGAGCGTTTTTGAGTGGAAAGTAAAGCCAAAATAAGTTACCCAGCAAGGGAACTGAGTTACTGCGCCGGTGCGTTGGGTTGGTGCATCAAGCCATTCGCGCAGCGCTCGGTCAACTACTAAGAATTCACTAAGCTACCCAGGTCTAGTTAGCAGCAACTTAACGTAAAAACGGGAGAAAATTCTTGATCAAAAACGTTAAACGAAGATATCGTGATAATGACGACGAAGAATCAATAGAATCGAAGGCTTCGAAGAAGACATTTTCTTGATAAAATAGCGAAAAACAATCTTTCCTAACGACGAAACAACAGAGGAAGATTGCAAATGAAGGTAGACCGCAAAAAAGCTGAACGTAATTTTTTTCCGTAAAGTAACTTTAGTGCCAAGCAAATGGGCGTAAAAATGCGAATTAAGTGACCCAAGTTATTTGACAAGGATTGCTGATTGTATTTTCATAACAGATTTTTATGAAAGAAATATTCCGGTTTACCACAAAATGCTGGAAGTCGATGCAAAACACAGCAAAAACGTAGTAAGTTTTTGGTTAATTAGTCTGGAAAAGTGGAAACACTTGCAACATCTTCAGCGGTTGTGCGCTGGTGGTGCCAAATATTTTGTTAGCCAGCAGCGCAGGAATTGAAAAGCAAAAAGTAGACACAAAAGGAAAAAAAATTGAAGCTGGTACTGCGATGAATGAAAAAACTGTAAAAAATGCTCTTAGGAAAATAAGATTTGTGTTTTTTTACATAATTAGTCACGTGCTATTGAGTTTATTTTGCATTCACTCTGTTGAAATAATACTGCTTTATTATTCACTAGTCTCAGAAAACATAAAACTTTACTTTGGACTTGCGCCATTCTTGCTGTTTTCTTGATGACTTTTTTCTGCTTTTTTTGTTCTTTCGATTTAATAAAATATAAATAAAACAAAAAAATCTTTTTTTTACAGTTATTATTTACAAGTTACTTATGGCTTTTGCTTTGGAGTCCTCAAGGGCAAAATATTAGCGATATTTGAACAAGACCTGGTGGAATCGAAAAAAGATGCAAACGCATCGAATAATATTCTTTGTACTGAACAAGACGAAGTGGTAATCTTGATTCTTCATTCATTCCGGCCATGGGAAATAATGGAACAGAAAAATAAACAACGACATATCGAACAAAATAAATAACGAAACAATGAAGATTGCAACCATTTAATTGAAGGGAAGCAAAATCTGATGTCAAGAAGAGCTGATCTAAATTAATGAGACGAAAATTAACATTGAACGATTGTCACATGATTCGTTTAAAAATTAAAATCAATCGACTTAACGCACTAAAAATGTGTCTGAGGCAAAAGCTGATCGCTTGATGAGAAAATGGATGGTTTTGAGTTGAGTACTGGAAAAAATATTTCTCCTAAACCAACTCGAAATTAATCGACCGCAAGCTTTCGGCTGCAATTTTTCATTCATTCTGCAGAAAGTGATGAAGAAAAACGAGAATAATGTGGGGGTGAACCAAGCTTGCGTATCAGTAAAGATTCAGAAGAGGCCGAAAAAATATCTACATGAAACTACTAAACTGTTCGTTAAAGGAAAAGAAGAAATGTTCCTAGTGAAACGCGAAAAATTGTTTTGCCACAATAGAATCTACATTGTTTTAAGACTTCTTCTTTGTCCTTTCGATGCAACTTTTAGAATGTCGAAATTCAAGTTCTTTTGCAATAAACCAACATCAAATTGTATTCTTACATGACTGTATGTCTTAACCAATCAGCATCTACATTCTGTCTTCAGAACTCTCGTTAGAAGTTACATGGGTATTCGGAATAAATTGATAACAAAAATCAGGTAAGGCGGAAATTAAGTTGGGAAAATGAAAAAAAAAAACTTGTAAAAGTTGATGAATTCATTCTTAAGGACAAACCAAACCTCGACCTTTGGTTTGTTTCAATCGCACTCACCAGACCGCACAAACACTTCTCTAATGACATGTCAAAAAACGATTAGGAAAAAAAAGATGAGCACCGTTTCTTGTTTACCACATCTAATGCTCCTAATGCATTGTAGTGTTTGTTGTTCGTTCTATTATTAGTGCCATCCATTTATCGGCGGCGCTTTCTTGTTTCCACTGAATTCCGTGGAAAACAACCAGTTGTATGTAGTATTGTGGGTGTTTCTATTTCGTAAATGGTGTACGCAAAACGTTCGATAACGGATTGAATTTTGTTTGCAGATCCGCTTAGACTTCGACACGTGTTATTGCGCACAATAAACCCACGCTTGCATTTAAAACTGCATTTTGCTGGAAACAATACGTGTTTTATGAGCGTCAAAATTCGTCATAAGTTATCAAGTTAATGCATAAAACCAAAAGTGGTTTTGCTGCTTCGTATGTGTAACTGGAGCTTCATCTTTTGGAGGTAGAAAAAAGCGGATTTGCTCAGTGGAGGCTACTGCTGAGTTGAAAAGAGAAGTGTTGAGGTTTGATGGGTTCAAACTCTCCGTTTAGTTTCCTCTTCGGGTTTGGTTGAGTAGTTTTTTTTGGTAATTTAAACGGGATTCGGGAATCTTTTGACGATGGTTTTTAGGAATGGTCACTCACTCGGAGTATCCAAAGGTCTCTTCAAGCTTTTTGCATCTGTTCCAACTCAAGAAACGCTCAAATTGCTCGACTAGACTCTGCATCAAGCCTTTTGGCAGTGACGCATAATTGTCGATTCTCGTTCTTTTTCTATTACTTGTCCAGCGAGCGAGACGGAAATTTAATGCTATTAAAGAGTGTCTAATCCAATTGTTGCAATTCTCGGAAGTTGATGTTATTAATTGATTCAAAGAAAATCTTTTGAACTAATCTCTGTTATGCGTAAATTTCAATAAGGCGTCTCAAATAATGACGACACCGTCAAATAGCTTGGAACAGACTACGCGTCATTCATCTTGCCCATCTTATGATCTGCACATTTTAAACAGCCCCGGTCGTTCAGAATTCCCCAGTTTACCAGAAACGCGTCAACGATGTGGCATCGATGCGAAGCTCCAGCTCTGCCACCCAAGTAAATTTCCCCGCACCTCGCGTTGCCGTTGTCTTGTTTTTCTTGGAATCGAACGCGCGCCTGATTAGGTTCCGGATTCCGCCGTGGACGGCGTGGGGGCAGCACCAGCCAAGGAGGTATCGTTGCCTAGGTTACTACGTGCTATTTTTAGAAGCGTTTTTTTTATGAACAGCAGGGCGGCAGGACTGAATCGCCTTGGACCGGTTTTTTGCACGGCCTGCTATTCAGATTGTTACGTTAGGCGACAAGGAAAGATATAGTAGTAGAGTAGTGTGGGTTACTACTTACTCTACGACGGAAACGCGCCGGTTCTCGTTATGGCTAAATGCGAATGGCTGGATAAATGCCCATAGATATTGCATACATTTGCGTGCAGATATTCGCTCTATTTGGATGTTCTGCCAGGCCCATTCACTCGTCAGTGGCAATAAAGCCAATTACTATTGGTGCCGCCCTTGTAATGCAGAACAATATGACAATGACAGTTTCGTTAACATTGGCATCTGTTAAGCGCACAATTACAAGGACTATTCGCGAGTTCAACTACCGATGGTGGCGCTGCGAAACGTCAAATTACTCGTTGTTAAGTGACAGTTGAGACTTGTCAGACTTGTTTATTTATTGGAGTTGATGACATTTATAACATCAAATTATACTTTAACACTTTTTGATGTTTCTATTGCTTTAAAAGCTTGCAAAAGTTGATTAGAACGAAACAAATCACAATCAGATGTAAGCACCAATGTCAAGAAAACTAGTGTCAAATTACTACTTAACTTGTAGTTATAATTTTGGCCACCAGGGGGCGTCTGGACTTTTGAACTCGCGAATTAATTTTTTACAAGGTGTATGTGATAAGTAGTCATCAATCTTAGCTGAGTAAAAATGACTAAATTTTATCTGGAAAATTGCCACTAAAATTCGTTTATTTGATGAACTCGCCTATAAGAGATCAATAAGTACGACAAGTCAATGAGAAAATAATTCGCTTTCCTTGCTAATCTGTTATGAGAAGTTTCACATATTGAAGCCGAAATAACCACATCGATGTGTCTCGAAGCAACAGGGAAAATAATTGTTTATGAATGCAAGCAGACAAAGTGGGTTAATCTAGCTCTCATCTGTGGGGAATGGAATCTGTGGAATGTCGATTGGTCATGAACCGATGGAATGCGCGAACGTAGGTTGAACATTTTACAACGCCGTCTTGGCGGCTTACTTTGTGGCCATTTAAAGTCAGATGGTTAAACTGAAGCAAACCAAACACTGTTGACCCTGTCGTAGTAAAAATCCATTGCATTCTTGAATCTGATTGGAGTATGCTGACCTGATGGGTAGTAACGGAATGACTGTTGACGATTGCAGCGGGTTCGGTTCTTTGAAGTTAAATTAATTAATAAATATAAATTGTCGTGCTTGCCTCATTTAGAGAGCATCTGATGCATGTGGGAAAGTAACAAAATATGCAATTCAGCAAGATTATTCATCCAAACAACACGACACGTGACGATTTATTGCTTCAAGCGTTTGAATTTGAATGGAAGGCTCAGGCAGTCGCATCCATAAACACTTATCTTGGACCTTTTCCAGGTAAACATAAGAATCTGTCTGGGAATGTATCATTTGAAAAATAATTAACATACTTACATGATGATTGTTGGTTTCAGGCTGCCATTCTCCAACAGACGGCGGAATACATCTACTCCTTGGAACAAGAGAAGACGAGGCTGTTATCGCAAAACTGTCAATTGAAGCGGCAAGTTGGTCAACATGAGGGCGGAGAACTGCCGCCTAAGAAGCGCATCAAAACCGAGCTGGTTGTGCCTACTATTTCAGCTGAATCTGCAGATGAAGGTAGTTATTAAAGCGGCGACATGCTAGCCAGAAACAAGTTAATCAAATGCATTTTCCAGGCCTTGGATCGATGTCTCCAGAGCCCGTAAAGTTGATCGCTGTAACTGTTAACAACTCCAATCCAAGCGAATCTCCCAGTGAACTAAAAATGGCTCTAGACCGAGAACGAAATCTGCGATTGCTTCTCGAAGATCAAGTGCGGCAACTCGAACAGCAATTGTACAAACATGTAAGTGTGGTGACTGTCGCTAAAAAGAACAAAAAGGTAATTATAGCCAAGTATTTTCACGGTATTCGAAATATTCTCATGCTGTTTTGGAGAAGGTTCTCAAATTTGGCTTTTTTGCAGGTTGTTCAACAGCAGCAGCAGCAGCAGCAACAACAACAGCCTCAAATACAATACGTTTCCGAAGAATCCGAAGAACTAAACGGTCTGCAATTAGTGGCTGCTGATAGTTTGCCTCCAGTCGGTCACACTCAGACTGTGGTCTGTTCAGCACCAGCGTCTCGCTGCTCTACTCCGGAACCGACAATTGTCCCGGTGGTATTGGCTGAAGAAGAACGATTGCCTAGTGTTTTAAAAGCAGCCATCAAAGCTGAGCCGAAGGTATGATTCTTTTCTAATTACATCTGAAAATGAATGAAGATAATTAGACACTACAAGCCAGTTCTGTATGTGTGTATGTCTAGAATTGCTAGAACGTTTCTTTTTTGAATTAGTTAAAGTTAATTTAATTTGTATTTGCAGGTTGAGGTCGAACGACTACCCTCGACGAATAATACTCACGAAGAAATAAGCTCCGGAACAATTTACTCTCTTAGTAACACTTCCCGACAGAATTTGGAGACTATTGTAGAGGCCATTCGACATCTAGAAGGTAAGGCAGTGCTAACAAGTGAACAAAATTCTTAATCTTAACACACGCATTTATGACTATTCGTTACTTGTTAATCTCATATATTCAAATCTCCAATGAAAATGAAAAAAGTTGGCTAAAATCGCACATTTCGTAGCATTTTTGAAGTGATAACTTTTTATGGGAGGGTGAACCGATTTTTCTCGGTCACGGCGGCTCCCCTCCGGCCTCTTCGCGCCTGAGGCTTGGGACGCACAAATGCACTTTGAATTCGACATTTTTCTCTTAGTGCGGGTGCATCTGTAGATCTGATAAACTTTTCAAATACACATTGCGTTATTAAACTGACAGTGATTTTGATATATCAATTACTGAGTGTGATATTATTGTCTTCGGTGCATTTTATTTTATAACGCTGATAACAATGAATCAACAAATTATCAAGGGAAAAGCTGCAGATCCTGCAAATACTAGGTTAATGCGGTTGGTCCATCAATTTGCAGAAAAATGTATTACAAACTTTTGAAAATCATCTTCAAACGACCGGGTATTTATCATGAGATTGAACATTGCCATGCACTGTTAAATTTGTTTTAAGAACTTAAAATCGATGTTGTGCAACAAAATTGTGCCTAAGATCTACTACAATAAAGTTTTTGAAAAACTGTTGGACCTATTTAAAATCGCCTGTTTCATTGTGGACGCAAATTCGTATCATGAAAAGATTAAATTAAATTAAATCGTATCGATAGAATCCCGGTACCGATTCCCTATGTCTTGCTCTCCGTCTGTAGTCCAAATGCTGCCCAGATGATGTCCATTTGCATTGTATTGCACGAGTCAAAGTTCTGAACTAGTAAAATATTACTACCTACTTGTTTAGTTATTTTCACCGGAGACAATTGTTAAACCAGATGTTGAGCCAATATTTTCTAAAGAAGGCGGGGTCAATTTATGAAAAACGCTCAAGATTAAGTGCAAATAAAGTGTCACAACTATTATTAATAACTTTTAATGCAATAATATGTTCTATTATTTGTTATTTTATTTTATTTGGTAACAACAGATTATGCATATTTAGATATCTATTTTGTAATCTTTCATATTTAACATAAAATGATAAACATCATTACTGATTTGTAATAATATATAATAAATATGTTTTTAATTTAATTGAAAAAATATTGGAGTTTACCTCCTAGTCCTATTCAGATACAAGTTGTAGCAGACGTTCATGAACAACATACACAAGAGCAGTCACAAAAACATGCTACAATGCGAAAAGTATTAAGTAATGCTGAACGCCAAAAACGATTTCGTGCTTAAAAAGGAGCATTAAGTAATAGATCAACTCAAAGTAGCTTTCATCACTGAACGTCAAAGATTATACAAAGCAAATAATAAATTACGACAAAAAAATACAGAAACTCAAGAAGAAGAGTTTACACAAACCCAAGAAGAGCAATATGTACAACATCTCGTTAAAGAATGTTAAATGTTGCAAATAAAAAAGATATTTTACATTCAAAAGGAAATCAAATTAAATTTTACCTATTCCTAATCCATTTATAAATTACTAGACTAACAAGAATATTAAAATTATAAAATGAAATAATTATTGCCATCATGCGTTAAACAAGTTCAATATTTTATGGTTTCTATTAGTTTATGGAGTTATCACTTCTGTCGAGCGTCCCGTGACGCACACCATTTTTTTAAAGTATGGTATTTCCTGACCAAGTCGAATATCGCAAATCTTCCAAAACTGTATCATTTTTCTTCCATTCTTTGTCCTATTTTCCATGTAATCCACATGTTTTTTTTTAAATCAGGTGATCACATGTTTGGTGATGATTCTACCGTCGGTGCATCAGTGACTGTAACGACTTCTCCGCCTGATCCCCAAGACATCCCATTGGCTCTAACGACACGAACTGATTCCTACATCGAGTACAGTGCCGCGACCGTGCAGCAACATCAACAGTCGCGACCCGGAGTCATCGTGGTCAAGCAGGTAACGACATTTTCCTTCCAACTATTAGAGTGTATCGAAAAAAATACATAAATGTTTACAGTCAGTTATTTTGTATTAGTATTAAGATGTAAATTGCTGCCAGCGAGTGGAGCACAAACTCCGCTATCGCTTGATCGTGGCCAGAGGGTCTGAAGGTGGCAAGAATGTACCGAAGATGTTACAAGTTGTTCGCGCCGAATTTGTCTAATTTTTCTTTCTCAGGCCTCGGAACGGATTTTCTTTCGATAAGGCAATTTTGCGGCATGCGGGGGTTCGTATTAATTGTGCATCAATAGCGGAGAAAATCGATGTGAAAAGCACATCAAATGCCGAACAAAAAATCTTCGTCTTGGCCAACACCCATTAAGCACCATTTTTATACTACATGCTGCCCTGTTTTGACTCAGGATTGCAATGGTGTACCCAAATTTTATCCTAGTTTGAGATTCGGTTCAGAAACGCTTCCTGCTCTTGCTGAAATCGATCCCAAAGGTCTTTTAGAAGCCTCAAATCGGAACCGATATTTATCTAATCCCATGTCTTCTTAACGATCTGTTGGGCACTACCTTAGCTAGTGTTGATTAATTGCCTTTATTCAAGAGGTTTATGCGTGTATTCTCCCTCATGAGCCTCCGGACTACCTCAATGTTGGCTTCGGTCGAGCTCGACTTTGGGCGCGGAACGTGGTTCTGATTCTCGACTTTTCAACGCCCTCTGGAAAATTCTTTGGGCGGTTTCTTGACAGAGTGTTATCCCAGAACTGTTTCTAAAGTGCGCAAATTGTCTGATAAGTTCACCCCTTAAGTGTTCAAAAAAACCGACCATGAATGGTATATCGTGAGCAGGTCGCTTTCGGTCTAGACGAAAGATCAAATTAATATCGTATTTGCAATCTGCCGGTCAACAGGCGAAAGAACAGTGAAAATCGGGAAAGCTTCACTTGTAAACCAGACGCGTAAGGTAGCAAGGGCGGATTCAATTCTCTATCCAACGATGCCAAAACGAATTCTCTGGCTCACTTTCTAAAAAGGCCATTTATTTCTCTCTAGAATGATGTACAAATGAGCGTTCTTGCTCATTTTGCCTCCGAGATATGAGCAAAAACGGGAC